TTTATGATATTAAGTTATCTACAACTGTGTAGACTGAAACACGCGATGTTAGAACTGTTATAAATTACAAGCCAACAAACTCAAGATTGAAACTGGATCACATTTCGGTTCGTCCTGGTCAAATGAAATGTTGCTAAGAAGCGACAATGGTCTAAGATGGGCCGAAACTTCGTTCTTTTTTTGTGCGAATAATAGGCGCGTGATTTTTGCTAGGGATCCTTCAAAGTGATAAGGTTTGCGAGGACAAATTTAGTGATTTCGCTAGAGAAAAACTGAGGAAATGAAAACTGGATCTGAGTAAAATACAAACTCGAACCAATCAATAGAATGAAGTTTAATATGACTGATGGGAGTGGCAAAGTCAGAGGATTTCATATTCAAGGAACGCGGACAACTGTTTTATCATCCGCGACGAAAATGTTAGGCTGAATAAATCAAACACTAAAAACAAGAGATGCCAAGTCAATGATGATATTCTGTATCATTTTCTCTCTCCAAATTGAAATATTGCCGTATACTAACGGCTCCCTTCAAAGTAGGTGAAATTGCAGAGCTTCTCAATACATATACTGAGCACATATACATGCACTTGAACTACTGGGAATCTTGGAAGTCCTCTGAAACTTTACTCTTGGAAAGAGGCAATGATGATGTACTACAAATCTACATTGAGAAATTCTAGAGGTTGATCCAAAACCTGTATATTGATTTAACTACATATGTAATGGCAATGGCTGGGCTGACGGTATAAATACTTCCATTAATAAAGCAGCGGGGCAATGGGTACACTGAGAACAATATACGAGTATGGGGACAAGATTCGTCAACACCTTCCCATTCGTGCAAAACAGGAATTACTGACAATTAACTAGCTGTCTTCAATGGGGAACACTTGGTAAGTTTCTCGAGCCAGTTCCCGTTCAACAGGGCTGTGGTGCTTACGTTTGTCTTGCGCCCGGCAGTCACTAACAGTTTAGTTGATCAAATCAGCAACCAAGAGGCTGGCTGCAACCGAGCCCATGTCCGGTTGACCCCCATAACGCAGTGTAAGAAATCAAAAAAAAATTTGTTTCACATTTGAACGTTCATGTAAAATAATTTTTACGTTTTAAACTCGTTAAAACCGATATTAGAATGTTCTTAGCAAACACACTTTTCAAGTCATCAATTGTGTTGCTTAACGAATTTAAGTTGTGCTACTTTTAAATGATCAAGGCTAGCTACAAAAAACATTAGTTATTTTAAGTTTCGATATTTTATTTAATCCAATACCCCAACGATCTTTAGATCAATACGTTGTAATATTAAAACAAGAACATAATGAGAGGGTAAACGTATGGCGTGGTCTACGATGCAATGGACAGTCCCTCATGGTAGACGACGGTTTTGCAGCTGGGAATGTGGCAAATAAACAAACATTACCACCGAACTCAGTCCAAGCAGATTTTATTACAAGCCCATAAGCAATTTAACGATGGACATTTAAACTAGGAGTTAGCTATAAATCTACGTACACTACTTACTGTTACAAATATAAAAACCCTCTGCCTTTGGTGTCGAGTCTTTTGACCACAGCTTCCATATCTTCGGATAACGTGCTGAACTGACCAAAGCCGGGTCATCAAATCAGCGATGTTTCAGGGAAAATCTATTAGTTACACGCTGACAAAACAAGTGATTATAGTGAATATTCCACTATAATCTTTGGATTGTTCTTGAAACTGATGTCGATAAACTAAATGATTAAATTTCATCTTTCGTTTTAAAGTAAATTTTTCTTTCACACATTCAATTACAAACGAAATAATTTATTATCTCACATGCAGGAAACCTAATAAGGTGATAAGCTATAAAATTTGCTATCGCTGTAGCACAAATCTGGTATTGAAACTCATTTCTTTTTCTTAAATGTAAGAAATAAAAATTCAAGTCCACGAATCTAATATTAAAGTACTAAGTTCCATATTTCAATGAGGAAGCTGGTTGGTGGCCGGAGCGCCAAGGAGCTACCAGCGTGGCTATGACACACTGGCACTTGAACCTTCACACTGCCAAGACAAGGAATTAAAAAACAAATTTAACAGTGCTGAGACGAGAAAGTGAACAGTTTACTGTACACATGGAATAATAAACTAATTTATTACGGAATTGGGACGACGTTTTCCTTTTCAATATATTTACCATAAACCAAGAATATTTTACACGTGTCATTTTTAGTTAAGCCTGCATTAGAGGGAATAAAAAAAATAGGCAAAAACTGAAATAAAATGTACTTATTATTTAGTCCTGCTGTTCAGCGATGGCATTTTCCTGTGGCAGCAATTGCAATTGAACTTTGGATCGCTTACAAAATCACTTTGAATTTACAAATGTGTACGTGTATAAGCATTTAAATATCTTAACCGGAGTTATGTTTATGATGCTAACCGATAAACTCAATGCGAGTTATTGATTGGAGTGAAGGCGCGCAAGGAGTTGGCTACAGACTAGCAAATTGTAACCTATTCTACTCTGCTGCAATATACACTTGTCTGCACCTCCTGTTCTCAGACAATTGGCCAAAACTAAATTAGTGGAATAAAACTGCACTAGAGTGAGGACTCGGGAGGTGAAAAAATCATATCCAAAGCTCTAACTAACTGCTTGTTTTTCTATAAGACAATTTTTTCATATAATCCGTTTTCTACAAAATGCCCATATATTAAAGAAAACCCTTGAATTTGGTTTATCACAACCCACTATGCATACGCTTAATTACTGACCTAATAAATTGTGGGATTGTCCTACAAAAAAAAAAAAATCCACCGTGTTCGGCGTATATTCGAGTCATGGTTATTGCGATGATTCATTCAACTCATCTTTAGCAGGAATGGGAGGGTAAGGATGCGTGAAGAGAGAAATGAAAGCTGGGAATGCGACCAGATTATTATTTTATTATTTATAATCAAGGGGGGAAGCGCTAAACCGGAGGATTATACAGCGCTGGAGGGGGGATGTGGAAGGCATTCAGGATTAATTCGGGGAAATTGGAGAACAGATCCTATTCCCTAAAAATCAAGAGCCTCACCAAAACATCAAGAACCTTCTTGAGGGGATGTGCGACCAGATAGTTATAAACAATGACAGCTCTACGCAGTACTTGTTGGACAGAGGACAAATTAGTGCGGAGTAAAAGTGTAGGTGACATTGGTAGTACGTTGAGTTTTAGGCCACAGATGTTGTTCAGTGTACCTTTTATTGTACCCATAATGGCGTCGCGCTGCTCTGAACTGGACTTACTCCACACTTTTACTTATCTATTGACCCTCATTTAATGAGCTATTAGTTCAATGGTTCGATCTGTCAAAACGCTTTCTAATTATCAGTGTAGATTACATCCAATGTGTTTGCTTTCCTAAGCCTCAGTTATCTTGTCTATTTACCTTACTTGTAGCTATAGACAGAACTATACTGTGGTGTCCATCTTCATGAATATAATGTATTTAGTATAAGCTTTTTAAAACCAATCAATATTCCATCACTATTTATAAACTAATTTTTCAAAGTAGCCCTTTGGTTCATTTTTTTTTCTTAGTTTTTTATCTGTGTCCTCTGTAATCCTGTGTAAGATACATGAAAAACTTCTCTACATATCTTTTATAATCCTTGTTGCTATCATATTTCCTGCTATCATCTAGCAAGCTCAATCATTCTTTAGTGCTTATCTTTCTGTTACTCATAGCTCGGGGATACATTTCGTTGTCAACTTTTTCTGATATTTGTATTTGTATTGTATTATTTAACATTAATTAAAATTCAGCAGCCATCATAGCAAAAATAAATATTTTTTAAAACCACGATTGCTGCTTTAAAATTAGCGCACTTAATTTATATATATATATAATATATATATATATATATATATATATATTATATATATATATATATATTATATTATAATATATATATATATATCTTGGCGCGCACGCAAGGACAATCCTTACTTTATATATATATTTATATATATAATATATATTATATATAGATAATATTATTATATATATATATTTTTATATATATATATTATATTATTTAGTATATTATATATATATTTATATATATATAATATATATATATATATATATAATATATATATATATATATTTATATAATCATATATATTTATATTATATAATAAATATATATTTATATATAATATATATATATAATATATATATATATATAATATATATAAATATAATATTATATTGAATATAATATTTTTTATTTATAATATATATATTTAAGCCAAGATAGACAAGTTCTGCCTTATTCGGACGACATTATTTATATATGATATTTATAATATATATTTATATATATATTATTTATATATATATATATATATTTAATATTAAGGTGTGCGAATAGGCAGGAACTTGCTATCTTGGCGTAAATAGCAACGCTTATCTTGCCATATTAAGACAAGCGAAAAATTTTTGTTGTATGCAATAAATTCTTGCCAAAATCATTCTGAACCTAACGACTAAAATAATTTTCACTGGCTTATTTAGTATTAAATAACTATTGTAACAAATTAAAATTATACCTACGTTGGGTTAGGCTTAAAATAAATTGTTCTTGTTATATAAGGTTAGGTAAGTTTTCTATGATTCTTTTGGTGCCAAATTAAACATTTTTCATTAACAATAATTGAAAAAAATATATTCTTTAAACATGTTTAAGAGAATATTTTAGTGGAAAGGACTTATTTTAAAATGAGCTTCTTGCTAAATGGACCAGTTTTACATATTCGGCACGACATATATGTGTGTGTGTGATGTGTGGTGTGTGTGTGTTGTGTGTGTGTGTGTGTTGTGTGTGTGTTGTGTGTGTGTGTGTGTGTGTGTGTTGTGTGTCTGTGATGTGTGTGTGTGTGTGTGTGTGTGTGTGTAATTATGCACAATCCATCCAAAATCTTATGATTTTCTCACACATGGCCTTACCCACAGTCATTCATCCTTCTTCTTATGTGATTCTGTCCATTCTTTGACCTTTTCCCAGAGTTTGGATGGTTCATCAATACGGGGTACATCGTAGTTCTGGGTGATGTAGATGCCAGCATACACACCCGCACCAAACGTCAGCTGTGGATAAAAGACAAGTTGGGAATGTAGATACTGACACCACTAACACTCAAAATAGCAACGTTACACCCTGTGTGGATGTGATCAAGCTTTTATACTATTATAAATTTTAAACTGATTTGTAAATAATTTGTAGACATAAGTTGCGTTATGTTTTTAAACAGCCCACAGCCAAGACAAAAGTGTTTGCTCAATAATATAGGGAAGGAAAAGAGAACAGAATATAAACTATTAAAGAGATAACTCAACATATGTATTGTACGCGATAGAAGAGATTAAAGATATCAGGAAAGACGAGACAAGATGGCATTAGAGCTCATATTTTACGATTATTAATATGAAAAATTGCTTTGCCGGATACACAATTACCAAACTTGTTCGGTAAAGCCATATAAACATCAGTAAAAGTGATGTAACTCATAATGATCATATGAAGCAGGAGAGGTTTCTCCACATGTTAAGATCAGTACAGGACTTGCAAGAGTTTGCCATTATGTATAAAAAAGGATTATTTGGGGTTCTGGTAGCGGGTGGTTAATGATAAACTTCTTCGGAGGCTTCTTACTTTATTGAAAGGTCGTGGTGGGTACACAGGCTTGTGTGTTGTGCCCATGGCCGGAGAGGGCCCATCCTCGATGAGGAGAGCTTGGGAGTACTTGTGTCTTTGCTGCTAGGGCCAACTGTGTGAGTAAGAGCGTGGCAAGGCCCATGGCAGGCTGAAGTGGCCAACCGAGGAGGCCTGGATTCAGAGGGGGGCTAGCATCTGAGTGGCATGAAATTGTACTATGTGGCTGAAAAGCTTGGGGCTGTCTGTGCAGACTGTAAGCTGTCTACATACGCTCGGCCACCTACCGGGTGGGGTTGCGTCGTTACGATGCTGACGATACTGGTGGTAAAGGAACTCGGGTCTCACTCTCGTAGGAACAGGGCACATAAACACAAAATAATAACATATAGATACATATGGACATGGAAAAAAAAAACTTCTACAGGGAGGGAAGAAGAAACAAAACTTGTGGGTGTGCTAAACATCGTGGTCCACAGCAGTGCAGCGTCGAGGGCATCCACTGCAGCCTTACTGCGTCTGGGACAGATACTGCAACACAGGAGGTCATCACTGCGGGCCTGAGCGGTTTTTTTGACGTATCAGGTTCCGGTCTCTCTGGAACGGTCTTGATGAAGCAGACATGTAGGAGTCGCCTGCAGGTTTTCACTTCAACCTGGGGCATGACATGCTAGTTGCCCTCGAGTGATGGCGTAACAAAACTCGGAACTGGGCAGGACTTCTGGCAAGCAACGCGGGAAGGACACTTCTCAACTTTGGTATGTCGCTGGGGGGGGGGCTTGTTCCCCCCCCCAACTGCCGGGCGAGGCGTGGATTGGAGCGAGGTCGTGGCAGAGGACGACTGGGCGAAAACATCTGGGAGTCGTAACATCATACACCAGACTGCAGTGGAGAGAGCTAGAAGAAAGTGACATCTTCTTTGTTGCAGGCTTGCTCATGATGCTTCTGACACGAGGCTGAACAGTGTGTCACTCTTCTCAACAGTTGGAGTTTATAGCAGAGGTTAGGTCTAAGCGTCCCCAGACTTGTTTATCTACATATAACTGCACCTGAAGGTCTGGATGTGAAGTGAACAAATCTCGATGGGAATGTAGCAGGTACGTTCTGCAGAACTTCACGAGTGACGAGCATAAAAGCCTTTCTTTTACAAGAGGGGCTCGGTCACTTGGGGCTGTCTTGACTATCAGCTGTCATACGCATGGTAACATCGGTGACGTAACACAGTGGTGCTACTTTAGTCTGGCTAGACATCACTGGACAACGGAGGAAACTTTAAACACACCACCGGTACATGCGGTACACTAACATGTGAGAACACTGACTGGGAGGAATTTACACCACGACATATATCTTTCGACAATTACTGAAAAATTACTAGAAGCACTCGATTTGTGACATCATGTGATATCAGGCCTTGATGGCTGCGAAGGGTGACGTCTGCAGCACTGAGTCAGCAGACATCTCGAGGTGACGTCAGGCAGACATCGAGGTGGACGTCAGCAGACACTCTCGAGGTGACGTCAGGCAGGACTTCGTGAGTCATGAAGTCGGGGGGAGCATCGTCGGTGATGTCAATGTGATGGTGGGCAGCAGTACCACAGCGATGTGGCCTGGGACATCTTGTAAACCCTCACGTAGATTCACGTGACTTTCACCAACCCCATCGTGGCGTCGTGTGAATCTTTTGGCATGCTGATCTCCCACGTATTCGAGTGTCCTCAGGGCAACTCGGATACACAGCTCTGGCTAATGAATTCACACGGAAAACAGCAGAAAACAACGCGAGGGAGTGGGCAGTGGCGAGTGTATGGTTTAGGACAGGTTGAGCGTGAGTAGGGCGGGCATGGGCAAGGTGAGGAACGGGCCACTACCCTCTCCTCCTCTCCCACCCACAATAACACGTTGTGAGAAGTCACACTGGACAAAGAAATTCACACCAAACTCACTCTGGCTTGCTGAAACAGCTGTGCTGAGCTGATCAAAAACAACAGCCATCATACAAAGTGACGCTGAACACATGTACTGGAGAAACAGCATTTCATGGGACCGCGTGTAGCGTGGGATCACTTAGAATTCTCGGAGAATCTTGGCAATTTTCGGCCTGGATCCTGCTTGTACCTGTGTCTGGATGCTCAAAGTGCAGACACGACATCAGGATAACTCGTTGAGAGATGGATGCTTGTTGTAATGGGATGATGAAGTGAAGATGACTTCATTACCTTAATCCTCTCTCTGGGGCAATCACACTGCTGCGACCACCACTTTCAACCACTTATAACGGTTGGGTTATTTGTTGTTATGGTAGCGCTGGAACCGGGTGTGACTTTTAGAGTCTTAGGAGGCTTCTTACTTTATTGAAAGGTCGTGGTTGGGGCCCTAAAACATTAGGCTTGTGTGTTTGTGACCATGGCCCTGGGGAGGGCCATCACGAGTGAGAGTGGGAGTACTTGTGGCTTGCGTAGGCCGCTGTGTGAGTAAGGCGTGGCAAGGCAGGCAGGGCCTGATGTGGCCACCGAAGGCTGGCTACAGAGGGCAGCATCTGGTGTGCGCGAATATTGAACTAAGCTGCAGACAGCATGGGCTAGTTGTGCTGACGTAAAGGCACTGTACTACATACGGAATTTGGACATAATTCTGTTTTACGCGAATTGAGTCGAGTGCATGATTATATTATGCATAGAACCATTTTAAGCTATTCAGGCTTGTATCATTTAATGGTCGCTAACGGTCATTAACAGGTCAGTCATTGTCATTTTCATCTTCTTAATAATTCCTCTCTGCAAAATGTGTATCTTATCCAACATAATCCAACATTTTTCGCAGTTTAAACCATATCCATAATTCATGTCAAGTCATGGGTTATAAGTCTCGGTAAATTTTCTCGAATGTGAAATCTTTCCGAAAAATTATTTTGTCGTTTTTAATCAGGCATTTAGAGAGTTAGAGCTAAGGAAGGGGTAGCAGTAATGTTGCAGGATCAGTTATGGAAGGAGAAAAGAGAATATGAATGTGTAAATTCAAGAATTATGTGGATTAAAGTAAAGGTTGGATGCGAAAAGTGGGTCATAATAAGCGTGTATGTACCTGGAGAAGAGAGGAATGTAGAGGAGAGAGAGAGATTTTGGGAGATGCAAAGTGAATGTATAGGAACCTTTGAACCAAGTGAGAGAGTCATTGTGGTAGGGACCTGAAGGCTAAAGTAGGAGAAACTTTTAGTGAGGGTGTGGTAGGAATTTTTGGGGTGCCAGGTGAAATGATAATGGGAGGCCTTTGATTGACCTTTGTATAGAATGGGGTTTAGTTATAGGTAATCAATATTTTAAGAATAAGGGGATAAATAAGTATACAAGATATGATGTAGGGCGGAAATAATTGACAGTAGTTTGTTGGATTATGTTTGGAAGATAAAAGACTGTTGAGTAGAACTTCTGGTTGTGCATGTTTATAGAGGGGCCACAGATACATCAGATCACTTTTTAGTTGTAGCTACACTGAGAGTATAAGGTAGAGGAGGATACAAGGAGAATTGAAGCATCAGGGAATGAGAGAGGTGAAGTTTTATAAACTAAAAGGAGGAGGCAGTTAGGGTAAGATATAAACAGCTATTGGAGGACAGATGGGCTAAAGAGAGGCATAGGCAACTGGGGGTCGAAGAGGTATGGGGTAGGTTAAATATGTCGTTTAGAGTGTTCAGCAGAAGTTGTGGCTTAAAGGAATAGTGGATGCGGGAGGGAATGAAGAGGAGCGATTGGTGGAATGATGATGTTAGGAGAGTAGAGTTGTAAGGGAGAAAAATTAGCAATGAGAAGTTTTACAAAGTAGAAGTGATGCATGGGAGGGAAGAGTATATGGAAAAAAAAGAGAGAGGTTAGAGAGTGGTGCCAAGCAATGTAAAAGAGAGCAAATGAGAAGAGTGGGTGGATGTTATCAACAAATTTTGTTGAAAATAAGAAAAAAGTTTTGGTTTTAGAGTGAGTTTAAACAAGTTAAGGAGACTGAGAACAAATGGATTGTCAGTTAAAATATAGGAGAGGAGAGTTATTCAATGGAGAGTTAGAGGTTTTGCGGAAGATGGAGGGAATATTTGAGGAATTGTTGAGGTTTGATGAGTTAAGAAGCTGTGAGAGGCGTGTAAAGGGCAAGGAGGAATAACATCGTGTAGGAGTGAGGAAGAGCCGTTGTAAGTGTGGGGGAAGTTCGTGCAGGGCAGGTAGGTAAATGAAAGGGGGTAAGGCAGCCAGGATTGATGGGAATAATGATTTAGAATGTTTAAAAGCGGGGGGATATAGTTTTGGAGTGGTTGGTGCAATTATTTAATAAATGTATGGAAGGGGTAAGGTACCTAGGGGATTGGCAGACAGGCGTGCATAGTTCCTTTGTATAAAGGCAAAAGAGAGTGCAAGGATTGTAGGGGGATAAGTCTGTTGAGTATACT